AAACTTTTTTTTACTATTTAAATATAATTATATATATGGTTAAATACTACCTTAAATTCTAATAATGTTAGCCGAAAAAACTTTTGAAAAATCTCATTCCAAAGACAAAATATCGTGGATTGAAATATTGAGTTTTAGCCATAAAAATCTCAAAAACTCAATAATTCAATTCACGATATTTTGTCTTTGGAATGAGATTTTTTAAAAGTTTTTTTTGGCTAACATTATTAGAATTTAAGGTAGTATTTAACCATATAATTAATTATATTTAAATAGTAAAAAAAATTTCTCTTAAATTCTAATAATGTTGTCGAAAAAACTTTTGAAAAATCTCATTCCAAAGACAAAATATCGTAGATTGAATTATTGAGTTTTTGAGATTTTTATGGCTAAAACTCAATATTTCAATCCACGATATTTTGTCTTTGGAATGAGATTTTTCAAAAGTTTTTTCGGCTAACATTATTAGAATTTAAGGTAGTATTTAACCATATAATTAATTATATTTAAATAGTAAAAAAAATTTCACTCCCATAGGTTAACATGTAAAAGTTGACTAAGTTTGTTAGCCTGCCATTTGAAAACGTGCAATGGGACGATTGCGGTATTAAGTGTATATAACACTTTGACATCTCTACTATCCAACCCTAACCCCCACCCCTCCCTCTTATAAACACCGTAGGTGTACACCATGGGTCTCGCAAATGGTCCATTTTCACAATAATATAGTCACGTGACCAAAAATATTTTTATGTGCAAAAAATTTCCGGCCATGGATCTATATATGTATAAAGTCTCAATATTGTTACTTCAGCTGTTCCCAAGTGGTGATCAAAACAAGTCGCTCAATTAATTTGTAATGCCCTTATATAATATAATAAATGTTATATTGAATCAATGTTAATATCTCGCGTGAATCAGCACCAGTTCTAATACAAATAAAAAAGCAGGTGCTATTAAACATAATATAAAATAGTCTATTGAAATTTTTGTATTAGATATATTATTAATTAATAATAAAATGCAATGAACATGATAATCTCATTATTATTATTAATATCATTTAGTTATTATGATATTTGTAAGTAATTCATAATTTTTATTTATTAAAACAACTAATTATACAATTATCACTTATTGGTCATGTTAAAATAATACAAACCCAATTTAACCTTCATCATAAACAGGTGACAGCGAGGCTACGGGTGCAGCTATAGTGGCGGCCGCCCGGTCCCAGATAGGAGTGCCCTATTCATGGGGTGGGGGCGGCTATAAAGGCAAATCCAAAGGCATAGGTCGCGGGAATAATACCGTAGGCTTTGACTGCTCCGGACTGGCCCAGTATGCCGTGTATACGGGCACCGGCAAAATCATCGCGCGCATATCTAGACAACAGTATAAGGACAGCCAATGTAAACGCGTGGCCTATGATAGTCGTGAGCCTGGTGACTTAGTGTTTTTTGGTTCACCAGTGCACCATGTTGCTATTGTCATTAATGCTACCTTCATGATTGCAGCCCCACATACGGGTGATTACGTGAAAGAGCAGGTTATTTATGCCGAAGAGAGACAGCCATTTGTTAGGCGTTGTTTTTGTGAAATTGACCAATTGTCCAGACTTAACTCAAATAACCAAACCCAATTAATTTATCAATTTACAATAACGTTGATAATGTTGACTATTAATGTACTAAACCCGATTGTAAACAGATTGTCACTATAAATAAATACGAGCGTGATTCAGAATCAAAGTACATACCTCACATTGACATTGAAATCTACTAGATTAACTAAAATTATTTTATAAACATTTATAAATAAATTAGATTTTTTACAGCTACATCAAATATATTGATAATCGTATTGTTAGTGTAACAATAATTATCGACGGCACTTTTTATCTATCTGTATAATTATTTATCATTTATTTTAGTGTCATATACTCTATATCATTGTGTTATTTTCCAATTAATCTTAAGATTTACTTTAGATAATTTTTTAACGAATTTAATTATATTTAATGTTACATTAATAATGTATCAATATTTTTTGTTAAATAATTAAAATATTGTTTGTTTAATAAATATTAAATATATTAAAAATAAATAACAATGAATATAATTCAACATTTTTTACATTATATTTGTTAATATTTTTCAATACAGTTAATTAAAATATTAAAGTAAGTTATATCACAAGTGTTTTATTTTTAAAATTACAAAAGTATTTCGCTATTAAATAAAATTAGTGATAAACCTACCTTGAAAATAATCAATTATAACAAGGTCCAATTAGTGAATTAACAGATAAGTAATTTTAACCAAGGTATTTTAACCCTAAAGTATCATTAACAATAATTTATTTAGTTTAGCGTAATTTAAAGTATGAAATTTAAAAATAGTTATAAAAAATTATAGTAAATATTTGATGATTTTTTAAAGTAATTATTATTGTAATTATAATTTATAAAACTATAATTAAAATTTTTAATTTTGATACACCTTGATCATAAACTATTAAAACAATTGATAAAATTATAAGTAATGTCACAAGTTTAATAAATCTGAGCGTAGTAAACAAGTACCACTCTTATATAAATAACACAGCAGGTAAAAAATAATAAAATCAATTATAATTGTTTAATAAATTTTTGTCAAACTAAACAAATACAATGAAATTTATTTCGTTGTCATTAATCATAGCATTTAGCTGTTATGCCATTCGTAAGTTTTAATTAAAAAATTTTATTAAAACATTCAAATACATTTATAATACAAATTATATTTAACCAACATCAATTACAGGTGACTGCGACGCTACGGGTGCTGCTATAGTGGCCGCCGCCCGATCCCAAATAGGAGTGCCCTATTCATGGGGTGGGGGCGGCTATAAAGGCAAATCATTGGGCACCGGCTCGGGGGCCCATACAGTGGGGTTTGATTGCTCTGGACTGGCCCAGTATGCCGTGTATAAGGGCACTAACAAAATCATCTCGCGCACTTCCGGACTTCAGTATACAGACAGCCATTGCAAACGGGAGGCCTACGCCAATCGTCAGCCTGGTGATTTGGTGTTTTTTGGTTCGCCAGTTCACCATGTTGCTATTGTCTCGAGCGCTACCCAAATGATCGCAGCCCCACAAACCGGCGATCACGTGAAAGAACAGGCTATTTATGCCGCAGAAAGACAGCCCTATGTTGAACGTTGTTTTTAAATTAAAATATTTATAGTTTTATTATTGTATTTTCACATTTTGCATGTATTATTAAAGTGAAATACTTATATGTTTGTGTAATTAATTTTCCAATTAGCTTGTTATAATATTAATTAAAATAGACTTGTTTAAATTTTGATTTATAAAATTAATTGTAATGTGTATTGATAATAATGTTTTCACTATCCAAGTTTATACAATGTTTAGTGCATTTAAACAAATGATTGTACTTTTATGTACTTATCATAATAAATCAATAATTTTGTAATCTAACATATTATTTATGTGATTAATTATGGTATTTTCCATATAATCTTAAGTAATATTTGAGCTAATTAAGTAAAACATTTTAAATGTTACATTTAATATACTATAAATGTATATCAATTAAATACTAAAAATATATTTTTCTTAGATATTAAACATATTTTAAATAAATTGCTTAAAATATTGCATAATAATATAAGATAGATTATTTGAAATTTTATGGAAATATTTTTATATTTTTTTCAAATGAATTTAATTGAAATATTAATTTTTAAACATAATCACAACTAATATTATTTATATCACAAGTGTTTTATTTTTTTAATATTAAAAAAGTATTACAGTATTAAATAAAATTAGTGATAAATATTAAAAATAATCAATTAATAATTTATTAAATACAAAGTCCAAATGGTATTGTTAAAAAAATCTTTATTTCAATACTACCTTGATCACAAACTATTAAAACGACCGATAAATTTCTATTTACGTCATATGTCTCATGAACGTGAACGTGGTAAACAACTATTACTATTTCAACAATTATATAAGCAAGTACAGTTATAACATTAAATTTAATACGCTGTAATTGTTAAATATATTGGTTGTTAAATAAAATAAATACAATGAAATATATTTCGCTAACTCTATTAATAACATTAAGTTGTTATGCTATTCGTAAGTACTTTATAAAATACATTTTATGAAAATAACTAGATAGAAAATTAAATAATTCAATTATATTTAACAATACTACGATACTAAATAAATCTGCCCTACTACATTTATAGGTGACTGCGAGGCTACGGGTGCAGCAATTGTGGCGGCCGCCCGGTCCCAAATAGGAGTGCCCTATTCATGGGGTGGGGGCGGCTATAAAGGCAAATCCAAAGGCATAGACCAGGGCGCCCATACAGTGGGCTTTGACTGCTCCGGACTGGCCCAGTATGCCGTGTATAAGGGCACCAACAAAATCATCTCGCGCACTTCCCAACTCCAGTATAAGGACAGCCACTGTAAGCGTGTTACCTACTCCAGCCGTAAGCCTGGTGATTTGGTGTTTTTTGGTTCACCACCCCACCATGTTGCTATTGTCTCGAGCGCTACCCACATGATCGCAGCCCCACATACCGGCGATCACGTGAAAGAGCAGGCGATTTATGCCACAGAGAGACAGCCATATGTTGAACGCTGCTATTAAACTTGCTAAGTTATGTAATTTAATATTGAAAATTGATTAAATAAGATTATTATTAATATACTATTTTTATCAAAATAAAATTTAAAACATTTTTAAAATTATCATTTATACAATTAGTTATACAGTATATCTATCTTAATTATTATTATACGTTAGTAGAGATTATACAGGTGCATTATTAACTAATTGTAATAATGCATTTACAAAATTTATTAATTATTTTTTACAGATAATTGCTCTATTAATTAATACCACTAGAGTTTATAATTTTATTTGTTAATCATAAACATTTAAAAGAATATTTAATGATCATTTATCTATGTTTATTAATAAAAAAAATAGATTCAATGAATTAATTATTAATATAATAAATATTGCAAAAAATAATGAGTTCAAAATATCATTAAGGTATTATTTATTAATTCTAATTTATAAATGTCGTAACAAGAGTTCATTAACTAAAAACAAACTTGTATAAATTGCTTTAACCTAAACCTAAACATGATCATTATAGTTCGACAAGTTATATAAACAATTTAAACGTAATAACAACTCAATTTATTTTAGAAATTTAAATAAATTTATAAGTTGCAAATAGTATCACTGTTAAAGTAATATCACGTTAAATAAACTTGTTTATATAAGGTTAATAAGTAATATGCATGTATTACACCGATTACCAGCCGAATGGCTTATACCGGGTGCGGACAGTCATCTCTATCGCACCGGACTATCGCTGTTTAAACCCAAACACTCGGCCACACGACCCGTATACAGTATTACCACCCGGTGCTGGTATTCACGTGTAATATTGAACATTTCATTAGAAATCTAGCTCTAATTATGCTCGATTTGAACCATGATCAGCGCATATTATACGGCGATTTGGACCACCACATGGGCACCGGTATAATGTGTAACGGTATTTGCGCGATGGCCGGTGCGCTGGTCATAGTCTCGCAACTAATCAATTACGTCAACTATAAGCTCGATATACAGCCAATCGATTTGAAAGTATTTAAAATGTTTTGCGGTTTTGTTTCGCCAAAATCAGTGGGTCTATACAATCGACAAGTTGTTCATAAATTACGTAAATTATTTTATAAATGTTTACGCGTTACTTATGTAAGTTGCGTTGGTATCGGTTGGGCCACTTTTGTGATGTTCATGGTCACTTGCTGGCCCAGATTGAACTGGATTCAATTGTGTTTATACGGTGTGCCTAACGCTATAATGTGGGCCGTTTGGGTGCATTACGCGTACAATATAATTAATTATCAAACCGTCTATTATTTTCTCGTCGCGTATTATTTGAAAACAAAAATACAGGCAATAAATCACAAAATTAATAATCTAGCTACTGGATTAATAGTGGCCACTAATACACAGGTAATAATCCATATGACTCAGTGTATTACGAAGCTTGATACAATTTATACGGACGTATATGAGTATAACAGCCGGTATTGGCACAAGTTTTTGAGCATACTATGGCTAACCATAGGCTCACTAATAGCCATGATATCATATATGATCACTTTAGGTGGTGTCCAGATATGGTTTATACGAGCTATGCTTTGCAATTACTTATTCATTTATACTTCACTATTAATGATAATTATATGGATATCCAATTTATTTTACAAAGAGGCTTTTAAGACTTATAAAGTTTTAAATGTATTCATGTTAAACAGAAACATCTGGCTGCCTACTGTATTTAAGATTAAGGTAAAGTGTTAATTTAAAATAATTATTATATTTTGGTAATAATTTAATTGAATGCTATTAGTTATTAAACATAACGGCGAGAATTGGCTCAAAACGTATCGGTTTTTATTGTTGGAAATTATTTATCATAAATAATTTCAGAGGATATGAAGTATGTGTTATTTTAAAATATTATAATTATTAAGTTTAATTGATTATTTATTTTAACAAATTGATTATAGATTACAGCCGTTATTGTAGTATTATTTTTGAAACTCCACGAAATAACTTGTAGACATTCTGTATTTTAACATTGATTATTATCAAATTTTGAGTAGTTTTACCAATTACAGTGAAACATCTCTAGTTGTCAACTTATCAACAAATTTTCAAAACCTAATTATACACGGCATAGATTTAATAGTAAAATAATTTTTATGTTATCAACTTCTAAGTTGTCACTTCTCTATGCATTTCTATTTGTAACAATTTCTGTGTTATCAACCTATTGGCAAACTTTCTACACATTATAATCAAATGTTAAACAATGTAATTTACTTTTATAAAACAATGCTTAGGTAAAAAATTGCAACGTTCATTTTAATAAAATGCAACAAAAAACTTTTAAAATACCAAAACTATCTAAAATAAGTAACTTTACTTTAAACAGTAAATTCTATGTAATATTAGCCAATAATTGTTTTATTAATAATAATTAAATTTAATTAAATTAACAATTTGTTAGTAAATGTTAGTAAAAAACATAATAAAAAACAACATTTAATATATAACATGTCTAGGTTTCACACTTATTAAAAATTTAATTTATTATTTAAATTAAAACATATTTGCTTCTAATATCTATGGTTTGTAACAGTGTTTAATAACATAAATACTAATACAAAAAGTAACAGTTATGAAAATAATAATAATCACAATTTTAACTGTTAACATTATACCCATATTGTGTTTATTGGGTCCACACGACCCTGATCAAAATAGGGATGCGGTAATATTTTAAACATGCAAAAACATTATTTATTAAAACATAAAGGAAAAATCATATTTAACAACGTGCTAAATATTACCCCTTACAGAGTCAAATAATCCGATCACGAGGCTTTATCGTGGAAGAGCACAGAGCGGTAACACTCGATGGTTATATTCTGGGTCTGCAGCGCATAATTAACCCACACATATTGCCAAATAACCGGAAACGACCCCTACTATTAGTGCACGGACTTATGGCGTCGGCCACTGATTGGCTACTCAATAATCACGGACTGCTGGGGCCGGACGGGGTCTACCGGGAAAACACATACCCCGAACCGGTAGCCTATAGGCCCCTGAATGGCACTAATGTGCCGATAGGGGGCTCCTTGGCCTTTGTATTGTCGCAGTTTGGTTACGATGTATGGCTCGGCAATTGCAGGTCATCTGTCTATTCAATGGGTCACACGTTTCTCAATTACAAAACCGGTATTTGTTTTATGTTATTATTTTCTCATCTATACATATTTTTTAAATTATAAATTACATATTTTGTCTCGATTATAGTAGAATTTAATAAAACAAAAAGAGTTATATAAAAATCTATGACAGATCAAATAAATAATTAAAAATGTTACATAACATATAGCATTTATCTGTGTATAAAAACATAAGACTCTAGGTATTGGATGTTTTCAATTGACCAGATCGGTCTCGACGACATTCCCGCAATGATTCAATACGTCAGAGACAATACCGGTCAAAGTATGTTCACAAACAATGTCATTTCATAAATAACGACCATCATATATTTATATTAATGTTTTGTACACCTTTAAGGCAAGATAGGTTACATTGGCCACTCGCTGGGCTGCACCGGTATGTTTATGCTGCTATCGGCGAGACCTCAATTCGCTGATGTATTAACCGATTACATAGCGTTAGCGCCGGCAGTGTTTGTCAACAATACATATGGACTCCCGATTAAACTCCTATCTCCTCTACAATTTGTATTCAGGTCTAATATTAAACATTGATTTTGATTTAACAGCACCTATAATGCACAAACTAATGTAACTTTACATATTAATATTGATCGATAGAATGTTACCTATGGGCCTTGAACCAGGGAATGTGGTACCGTTACAACGCCAACTGCAGGGTCTATTTTGTGGTGATAAAATTATTAGCATTTTTTGCGGTAGTTTTCTGGGAATATTAATGGGACAAAATCCACTTGACGTCGCTTATGTGAGTATAGGTGTAAACATTGTATTAAATTTATAAACATTAACACAATATTAAATTAAATTTTAGGATCGTCTAGGTGCTTTTTTGTCTCATTTTCCCAACTCAATTTCCACCTGGGTCATAACGCACTTATTGCAGTGGGCGGGCACCGGGCATTTTCAGCGTTTTGATTACGGCCCGCAAGAAAATCACGTACGATATGGACAGTCAGATCCGCCGCAATACCCGCTAAATAATATTAAAATGAATAAAATTTCAATAATTTATTCGTTAAACGACGCGATCACTGAATATAGAAATGTTCGCATGATTAAGGAATATATGACAGGTATTGGATAATAATTAACCCTATTTAAATAAGGTTATTATTTCATAGTTGCAATTTTAAATTTTACAATATAAATTATAATATGCAATTTTTAAAAATCCTAAATGAAGGTAAAGTAATATTTTATAAATAGGGGTTATTATAAATTAGAATTACAAAATGTTTAAAATGTTATATTTAATTAAAAATTTCAATTGCAACTAAACAAAATTTGATATTATAATGTTTATTTATTTATTTTAATTTTTAGTGCCTCTATATCGTGAGATATTAATCCCAGTTAAAAAATGGGGTCATTTTGACTATTTTAGCGCAAAAACAGTTGGCTTTCATATAAATTCACTGATTATTGATTTGTTGCGTTCATCTGAATAATAAGTTATTCAATTATTTTTGGCAATTATGTTGATTGGATTTCTTATCATGATAAGTTGTAAATTTTTTAAAAATATTTACAATAAAACATATACCACAGTTGATTTTATATTACAAAGTATTGTATTGTATTTAACTTAAGCTTTATATTGTATTTTATACAATTTAAATAAAGTTACATAATTAAAATATAATAAACTAGATAATTCCCAGTACTCCCCCGGTTTGAAAGTATCAAAAATTATTTGCAAAAGACAAATAAAACCACATATTAAATTCATAATTTTGTGACTCAATGTGAAAATGTTTTGTTTAATTGAACCCAACTTTTATGTCTATTCATGTTTTCACCTTTTAATAAACAAATAAAACTACAATTAACTGTTATTTTTCTGTTTTAATTTTATTGCCAGTTTTATAGTGATTAAAATCCAGACTAGACTGCTAATTTATCATCAACATTTATACCATAATAAAATATAAATGTTACAATGTGCCCTGTGATCATAAAATGTCAAAACTTTAATGCAATATCAAACCAAACATACCTAAACTGTTCACAAATTTTTAATTGCTTTACATTTCGCAGTACACTATAATGACATTTAAGTTATTTATTACATTAATACAAATTATTTTTTTAAATTATAAAATAATATCTTATGATACTATATGACTTATGGCTAGATTAATCTTTAATGTAAAAAGCATTATTATCTTTATATTTAAGGCATCATAAACTAATGATTCATGTTCATTATATGATTTGTAATTATTAAATAAATACCTAATGAAATAATTATTTGTATTTTTTGCAACCTCGTACATTTTTTCAAAAATATATTAATACAATTTTTAAATCAAAATTTTAAAAAATTAGTAAAATGTTTAAAGTTTTACATTCCGTTAGTTTTGACACATATTTATATACAGCGTTGTTATTTCTAATAGAAATAGCCTATGTAATAAAATATAATAAGCGTATTTAAATAAATGTAAAATTAACCATGGTCAATGTTTGCAGGGCATGATCTTTTCAATATACGCGCCTATTATGGTGGACATGAAGTACATACTAAACACATCGCTCGATTGGGTCTCACTGTTTACCACGTTTGAAACTGCGGGCTTTTTTCTCGGCACATTTGGTACATAAAGATTATAATCCAAACATGATCTAAATTAAAACACACTGTATATTATTAAGTGTATATAACATGTTATCATTCAAACAGTTGGTCTACTCTACAAATACGTGAACAGACAGCTGACAATGGCGTTGACATTCATACTGATGACAGTGGCGTCGGCGGTCATACCCTTATACCCCAACCTATGGGTACTATATTTGGGTGCGTTTATGATAGGCATCGGGTCGAGCTGTTACGTGGCCGCCAGCACCGTATGGATCATCGAGCTCTGGAGGGGTCGACCCATACCTATACTGCAAATATTTGAGTTCTGGTTCGGCATCGGAGAGATATTGACTACAGTGGCCCTCAAACCTTATGTTGTCGGCGAGACTACGGCCACAATCAATCAGACATATGCCCAGCACGTGGGGCCCAAACAGACCATGCTCAACTCGCAGTACTATTCAGAAACTGTCGTGGTGAATAGGAGAGCTCGACTAATGATACCGACCCTGGTAATTGGCGCCAGCATTTTAGCAAGTTGGTTCAAATTGTGTTACATTTGCTAATTTATATAAAGCATTTACATTGATCATTACTTAAACAAGCATGATTATTGCTAGAAACAACTATTTAAGTACTCAATTAATAAATAATAAAATCATATTGATTATTTCAGTACCCATATCGCTGGTGGTACTATATTTCGTACGTCCATACAAAACTCCCACCAACATGGTAAAAGAGGATGCTAGCTCAGTGGACAACAACAATAAACATGATAATAATAACGTGTCCAACGAATCGCAACATATGGTCAAACTATTTGACCGAAAGGATACGCCCAGGCGTTTGGCGCGCCTGTGTTTTGCACTTTGGTTTTCAATACACTTGTCGTTTGAAATGGTTTTTCTCAAATTTTGTGTCGCCTATTTCCAGTACTCACCCCTACACGTGCCCGTAGAGACCGGTACGCAGATACTGTCCACCGGGGTGACCGTGTATACAGTGGGTAATGTACACAAAAAGATTTACCTACCTACAATATTTTTGTAATTTATATTAATAATTTTCAACCATAGGTCTAGCATTGAACATATTCTATGTGTATAAATTCAACCTAAACTACGTGCTGGCCGTACACTACCTGTGCGTTATAGTGGGCACTATACTACTTGTGCCGGCCCAGCACTCGCTACCCTGCCTATGGGCGGCCAGCATAATGCTATTGTACGGCTTTTCGGCCATGTTCGCCGGCATTGTCACGTTCACCGAGCGTTATTTGAACATGACCAACCAGTTGAGCACACTGTTCATGATGATCCGTAGCGTATTTAACCTTGTTACTCCCATCGTGGTGGGCCGTTATCTACAAAACTACACACAAATATTTATCATATTCGAATTCGCATATTTGGGCATATCGTTGGTGATGTTCTCTGTGATTATATTTCTCATTAAAAAGTATTCCCACTTAAATACAACCCAGGCACCTAAATATGATAATTAGTAAAATAAAATTTACATGTTTATTACATTTTAAAGTGTGTCATTAAATTATGAAATTTAATTTATATTGTGTATGCTAGATAATAAATTATTATATAATAAAATAATTTAAGTTAAAGTTAAAATGTTTAAGTTTTATGAAACGTTTAGCAGCAGGTACAAATCGGGTAAATGCGGGTATTTTAGGCAACTTATAGGCTGACCAGCTCTAGATGTCAAGGTCAAACACTCACCTTTCACCTTAACCAAAACCCTATCACCTTGAAAATCAAGGCAAACCTTGACCAGTTGGCAACCCTATCTGCACGTGTGTCTATGAATACATACTAAAATAGTTATAACCGGATGCCTAAAACGCACTTGATATTGTATTATACATTAATTTTACTTAATATCCTTATGGTGCTTTTCAATTTTAATTAAATGGAAAAATACAGAATATTGACGTTTATAAAAACTAAGCAAAATGTATAACATTCAAGTTATCTGGTTAGTTATTTTAATTATTTGTTTTATAACAATACTGGTAAATTGTGAGAATAATCATCATAGTCACCATGGTCATCATTCTGTTCCAACTAAAACAACAAGCGAGTTGACAAATGTGAACAATCTAAATTTTACAGATTTAGTAGTCCAGGTAAATGCAACAACTAATTAAAAAGTCTAATTAAATATGTATAATTAAAATCTAAATATAAACAAAACTAAACTATGTACAAAACAATGTACAATGTTAATTATATTGATATCAAGGGCACAATTAGTGGCGATAGTGCAAGGTGTAAAAAGTTTAAAATCCCATTGCCAAGTAAACGTCATGTAATTAAGGTAAATGTTATTTATGTGCACAAAAAAACATTTTACTAATCCTGTTACTTTAAATACACTTTCTAAAATAAATTGAACCTAGTTGGAGGCATTTGGGAACTTTTCCGTCGACACCAATGTCCACGAAATTGCGTTATTTATGTGCGAACCGTCGGACGCGGACACTAACGTCGGGGCAGTAGTCGACTGTAGAAACCCAGCCAAACAGCCGCCGGGGTTTCAACGCTGTTATAAGCCATACATTTTCATGAAGATCATGTCCGCGATGGGACCGGTATGGCAACTGCCACCGGACACGGCCCTACCGTTGGGCACACCCGAGACCCGTGTACTACACGTACTGACCATTTTTCATCACACGGGCCCTCATCTATATGGCCGACCCCTGGAGTGGACCGTCCGGTTGTGGCACTCGGACCCCATTCGGCCCAAAGAGATGCAATTGTTGCCAATTGGTCTCAATCCGAGCGCCGGTGCTGTCATTCCGGCCGGTCGTAAACGATTCGTCAATGTTGGTCACTGTAGCAACCAGTGTTTCAAAGAGGTCATTGTTATTTATATACAGTATATATATATATTAATTTAGCCTTATTTTAAACAAGCTAATATTCATTTTTTTAATGCAAAAAAAGTAAACAAGTAAATTATATACTAAGAACTAAACATATTTATATATTTTTTTTATAGTCGGCGCCGGATGGCTTTAATATCACCATAATACAACCGCATTTTAATCATTTTGGTATTTGATTTTTAAATATTAATTATAAAATTATTTATAATGTCATAAATTATGACTCATAATTGAAATTTAGGCACAGATTTAGTTGTAAGACATTTCCGGAACGGGAAGGAAATGCCCAGTATTTACGAAATACATAACGTTAGGGACATTCACTTATTGCGGCCAAAAGTATTGGCCCGAGAGGTGCACATCGGGGCCGACGATACGTTGTCTGTCGAGTGCACGTATGACAGCACCAGAGATAATAGGAATTACACTATATTACACATGGTGAGTTAACACCGCGTTATATAAACTTGATAATTTATTAAATGTTTAATTTATTTAAATTTAAAATAAATTTATCAAATCAAATGCACCAAGTTCCGGAATGACAACGATGAAATGTGTAACGCATTTATATACAAATACCCGCCAAACAACAAAATCAACATGTGCTTATCCGCATTTGGCCAAGATTTTCTCTCGCAAGTAACCGGGTTTGATGAATGCTCCAAGTTAGTTTATTGTATTAATTATCAGTGTTAAAATTATTTCAAATATAATTATCATGTTAACAAAACAAAACATTTACTTTTATATAACATAGATTGAAAACATTTCCGTCAAACCTATCATTAGAGAAATATATGCGACAGAAAAATGATTGGAGTAATGACTTTGAGGATAGGCTTAGGTATTCAAAGCAAATACCAACATGCTCCTATCTCGGTTGGAAATCAAACAACCAGGATGGTGGCGTAGGCTATCCTGATGCTTATATACCAGAGAAAATACGGGCTAAATTAGAAAATAAAACCCAGACTAATTTAACTACAAATCTTACTTGTCCCACAACCGATAAATTGGTCAAAATAACCAAGCTATAATTTCATGTTTAATTATATCTAGATCTGAATAATAAAATATGACCATGGGCTTTAAATGTTTAAAAACTTGTATTGTTAACTTTAATTCTTATTGAGATTTATTTTTATGGCACATGTTTTTTAAGCTAACTCTTCAATTGTATTTTTAAAACATTAAATTTTTAACAGCATATAATAAAAGTTTAATCATTGTTATTTTACAATATAATGTTGTATTGTAACCTACAGTACAATTTGCAATATAATAGAAAATTAAATAATGATGGTAGGTGAATAGGATCTGATATAATAATTAATTATTGCCTAATGTATATAATTATATATTAATTGATAGCATAAAATAAATAATTAATTTTGTAATCTGTTCTTGATAATAAAATAAAACACTAAACATAACACTACTGTACATTTATTATCTATTTTTACCGGATTTAGCAAGTTTTTATACTACTCAATTTTGAATTAGTATAGAATATTCATTCATTATTTTATATTAAAAATAACTGATTAAAATAGGTGATAATTGAAGATAATTTACTATACTTTCAAACAGCGTGTTAAATTAGGTTTTAGATAATCTTGGGTTAAATCCAACTTTCAAAAATTTTAGATTCTTAATTTTTAATAACAAATTATTTTTATTGAATTAAACTTATTATCTAATCAAATAACTAATTTACTATATTCTAACTTTACAATAAAACTTTACACAGTTTTTAAAATAAATTATGACATTCTTTTATTAATAATATATAAATTTAATAAATAAGTTTTAAAATAATACAAGTTCTTTATAAGTTTTATTTAAAAATTTAACTTATCTATTAATTTATTATAATTAATATTGTTATTTATTAATTAAATAAAATGTTTAAAACATTTTCCAAAATGCCCATTCATGTATATGTATATACATTATTGTTGTTTATGATTGAAACTGGTTATGTAAGTAAACATATTTAACTATTCTAGCAACATTAATCATGTTTAATTCTTAGGGAATGCTATATTCAATTTACGCACCCATTATGGTTGACATGCAATACATACTCAACACATCGCTGGATATGATTTCATTATTTAACACATTAGAAACCAGTGGCTATTGTATCGGCACTTTCGGTACTCACTGTACATACAAAATACAAATTAAATACTAAACATACACATCAATTATACAGCGGGTCTACTATACAAGTATCTAAACCGTCAATTAGTGCTGGCCTTCATGTTTATCGTAATGATTGTGGGGTCGGCTGTCATACCCCTATCGCCAACTCTATGGGTGTATTACTTGATAGCGTTTACCATAGGGTTTGCCTCGAGTGTAGTGATCAGCGCCAGCACTGTATGGGTGGTCGAGCTCTGGCGGGACCACCAAAGTGTGCCCATTCTGGCCATGTTTAATGTTTGGTTTGGCATCGGGGGCATTTTCACCAATGTCGCTTTGAAACCATACGTGATGGGCGAGACCAATCAAACTAACCATGGTGGCGAACAGCAACTGTCCGGCCCAGACCGGGCTCATCGTATAATGATACCCACCCTGACCATTGGAGCTAGCATCATTTTAAGTAATATAATTATACGGATGTTTAATGAAATAATTTTGTAACTAAAAATTACCATTATTATTTTTAAAAAGTACCGATTTCTGTGATCATCATGTATTTCGTTAAATCATACAAACCGGACGATAAGAGTGTAAATAAATTAGACGAGAAAGATATAACCATAGATACAGTGCAAACTCGCGTCAAACTGTTTGATAGGCCAGACATACCGGGCCGTACAGTACGCGTGTGTTTTGCACTTTGGATATCCATATACTTAGCGTACGAAATGGTGTTTTTCAAGTTTTGTGTCGCCTATTTCCAGTACTCACCCCTACACGTGCCCGTAGAGACCGGTACGCAGATACTGTCCACCGGTGTTACCGTTTATACAGTAGGTTAGTGTCGCACAAAAGTTAATGTATGACAGATTGTACATGTGTATTGATTTCAATAATAAATATACGTTATAAATATAATTAACATAGTACTATATTTACCAGGTCTAGCATTAAATATAATCACCATGTACAAAATCAACTTAAATTACGTGCTTGGTTTTCACTATTTATGCGTGGTAGTTGGTACTATCATGTTGATACCTGCCCGCAATTCAATAACTATGTTATGGGTGGCCAGTATTGTCATACTGTGGGGCTTTTCGGCCATGTTTTCCTGCATCTATACATTTGCCGAGCGCTACATGAATTTGACAAATCATTTGAGTACACTATTTATGATATTCCGTGGAATATTTAACCTGGTCACCCCTATTATATTGGGCCGCTATCTGCAAAATTACACAGATATATTTATCATATTTGAATTTGCATTTATATTTGGTTCCCTCATTATGTTGGCAA